ACACTATTAACTCAAAGTTATGTGAAATGGACAGCTTATTCAATTGCAGGAAAAAAATGTTTCTTCAAATAATACTAGTAATTAAATGTTAAAGAAAATTCAAATTGTAGCTTTTAAAATTTTATATATATAAGTTTTTACTATATATTAAGTTCAGTATCCCTACTGCAAACCTAAACTTTTACCTTCATTTTTCATAGCTTCTCTTAAACCTCTAGTTGTAGGAGATATTAGAGCTGTTATCACATTACTTCCTGCGAATCCTGCTGCTCGGAACAGCACAGTAAACTGATAGGTACAAACGTAGAAATAGGGGCAAAGTTTTGTCTTCAGCAGGTTATACAGAGAAGTAAAGCTCACAGACCTATAAAGCAAAAGAATTTTCCTTAGATATTATTAAAACATTTACTTAAATGTTTAAGGTTTTGTATAGTTTGGTCTGACACCTTGCTTAAAACAAATGTTTTAGTTTCTGGTTTGAAATTTTGCAGTTAGGTACAATTTGGTTTAAAAAACTGGAATTAAGGGGCTGGGGTTGTGGCTCAGAGGTAGAGGCACATGAGGCAATGGTTTCAATCCTCAGCTCCACTTAAAATAAGTAAGTAAAATAAAGGTATTGTGTTCATGTTCAACTAAGAAAAATTAAAGAAACTGAAATAACAGGAACTCACGGATAACTTCTTAATACTTTAACAAATAGTGTTTATCACTTAAATGCTACCCTTTTTCTTAACAAAACTTAATTGAGCTGTCATGCATACCTATAATTCCAGAACTTGGGAGACTGAGGCAGGAGGATCTCAAGGCCAGCCTCAACAACTTTGTGATATCCTGTCAAAGAATAAAAAGGGCTGGGGGGTGGGAGTGTAGCTCAGTGACATAGCACTCCTGGGTCCAACCCCTACTACCAGACCAAAAACAAAACAAAACAAAACAAAAAAATAACGTTAATTGATTGATAACTAGCTGTTAAGTTTCTCTTAGCAACTTATGCTAATGAGAAGAGCAGCAGCCACTGATAAGTAACATTAAATAATTATAAATGTCTGTATTTATTGTATGTATGTATATATATATATTTTCATATTTTGATAAAGAGTGATAAGAGCTAAAAAAGAAGCAAACAGTTTAAATGTTTGGTTATTAATGGTTATTAAAATTCAGGGCAGTGAGATCCTTCTACCAGTCTATATTTCCATAAGGAAAGGATACCGCTAAAATGAAAATTCACCACTGAATTGCACAAGTTTTGTTTTGAACTAATCTTACCAGTCACTCATTAAAATGTGTTGCAGTGTTTCATCATTTGACCAAGGAATTGTCTTTCCAGCCATTTTTCTATCAGCTCCAATACGAGGGAACAGTGGTAGCCAAGACAAGGCCGGGTGGAGCCAATAGATAAGGCTCTGCTGGAAGGCACAACGGAGCTCAGTGGAAAGTTTAGGATCCTAAAATCCAGAAGGGATAGTGCGTCACTTTTGACCCATGAGAAGTACAGAATTTTACCAGACACAATGTATACCAAACATTTAATCTACAAAGTTTGATTGCTCTTTATGGAAAAGCATTACTGTTACAGGGGCTGAAATATAGTTTATCTTTAGCACAACCTTTCTGGCGAGCAATTAGTCTGCTAAACATATCAGAAGGAACACACAAATAACACAGATGGCAACATTCTCCTGTTTCTACTACCCTTAAAAACATAAGCAGTAGAAGTAGAAGTATGTTTGTATAGAGAGCACTATGCTATACATAATCCTTGTACCCCACAGAAACACTTTCAAAAATAGTCAGTGTACACTGGTAATGCATATGACAATCCTCCTGATTTATTGAAACAGATATACAAAGTTTTAAATAATTCTTTTTAACTTAGTTTGAGTTGATGAGCTGCTTCGAAGCAATAAAGGTGTATTTCTCTAGAACCACTCTAGAACTCTAAATTTACAATAGACCATTACCTAGGTAGTGATATCAGTGCATATCTAAAAAGACTATATGTTCTATACAAGAAAACCAGTAAAATCCACTGCTCTTGTAACCTAGTCAATTGCTTTTCATTTCCTTTTATTTTCTCTCCAAAAAAAAAACCTTAGAAAAGAATGGTTTGATGCCTCCATCACTGATTAATTCTCAGGACAGGTTTCTCTATTTAATGGGCTATTACACAATCTCTCAAAAATGCGTATGAAAGCACCATTTGGAAGGAACAAAATTCGCCAACTCTTTTTATCTTTAAATATCAAAAGAAAAACTTAATGGGAAGAAATCTCTCTCATATTTTACAGAAGCATTTTAAAATACTTTATTGGCTACTTTAAAACAAAGTTATTTTATTTCAGAATTACCTTTATACTTTGAGGCAAAGTAACTTCTATTGCTCTACAATGTTGAACAAGACCTTGAGCCTCCTCTTGTGCTTTCAGATGATCTGCCCAGGTAAAGGGTTGAGAAGAGGTGACAAGGAGTCGGGTTTTAATACTCCAGTCCACAGGTAACTCAGTATTTTCTGAGAATGGCGTATCCAATTCAGAGAATGATGTGTGTGAAGCCTTTTAAAAGAAAAAGAAAACACAAAAATCAGTAGAATTTCAAGAAAAACTCTTTAATCTAAATATTTTATTAACATATCTACAGTCTCTGAATAGCAAAATTATATAAACTGTATACTAAATATCATTAAAAATACACTACACACTGAAAAGTTCTGGAAGGTGCTATATTGACCTATTAATAGTAGTTTTCTCTTAGAAACAAAAATGTGTTGTTGGAATGGAACTTGTTTCATTTTTTAGTTTTTACTAAAAAGAACACTTATATAGTACTACAGATGTTGCTATCAAAGTAGAAATCTTCCCAATGTCTGATAAAGTACCTAAAGCCTTTGAAACTCTGGAACTTAGGCTAAGCTGCTCTTCCTGCAGGTAACTTTAGGTAGGACCCTTTAAGGCCATATTTCAGAATCATTTTCTGATCTCAAAAATCTACCATTAACCTGTTTTGCGGTCTTTTCAAGTCAACATTATCTACAGTACAAGAATTCTTATAGATAAGGTATTGTGTGGAGGTAACCGGAGGATTTGTTTTGAAGACTTAGTAAAGGATCAAGTTGAATTAGTAGCTTAGTATGGAGGGGTTCCTCTGAGTGATAAGCTCAAGAAAGAAGAGTGTTAAAAAACTGATAGGGGTAAAGGGCAACCAACAACTCTCATTCACTATGCCTACTTTAATTCTGGTGACCATTACAGCAATCCTTACTATAACATACCAAGTTCTTTATCTTGGCTGATGCCATCTTTTTAACTCTGGTACAAAGATAATCACTTTCAAGTATCTCTGCAGAACTATTTTTCAAGCAAAATGCTTCTGAGAAGGATGCATTTATAAAAACATATATTCTAATGATATTTATAAAGTATTACCTGGGATAGTTCGGTAGCTGTTGTTCTTTCAGATAACGTCTCTTCCCATAGCATATCATTTTCTTGATTGGTATCTGAAAACTGAAGGTAAGAAAATTGTCCTTTTAAAACTTAAATAATGCTAAAATTTGCTTCACATGGGTACAGAGGCTCACTTGGCAAACCACCTTCTCAGTAAATGCCAGTGCACACAAATTTATACACACTCCATTCAATCCTATCAGTTTTTTCACTTTGGGTCTGAACTTTAACATTAAAATTAATAGGGAAAAAGGCCAGTTTTGTGCATTTAATAACTGACATACAAACTTTAAGCTAAAAGACCCAAAAGGCTTCAGATTAAGACAAATGCTCGTGAGTTCTGAACAGATTTATCCTCACTATTCCTCCATCTCGCGTAGTTTTGTGTGGGAGAGAAGCACGGTGCCGTCCAAGCTGCCCTCCAGGACGGGTTCTAAGGCTTTCTTGCGCTCTCTCGAAGTTTACGTCCACGCTCGAGCAGAGGTGCCGCACATGGGGCAGCCTCCACAAACCCTATCTTTCAAGGGCATCGGCCCCCAAGGCTCAGAGCACCCTCAGGCCACAGGCGACAGAAACTCTTCGCGCCCATTTCTCTGCCCCGAACGTTAGAACTACCCATCCCTAATTCACAGCTGGCCCCCCACAAAAGATGACAGGCCCTCGCCTGGCAGGCACGGAGACACTCACCGAGCTCGGCGCCTCCGGTTGGCCGCGGGGCAGCCCGTCCGAGGCCTCCGCGGCGACCCGCAGCCGGTTGTCCAGGCGGGCGAAAGGGTTCCTGCGGGCCGCGGTCGGACCGCCGATTCTGCCGGCAGCGGCCGGGAAGGGGCGGAGCAGCAGTCCGGCCGCCAAGGCGGCGCGGCGAGGCGTCGGCTCCCGCAGCTCGAGCGGGCTGGAGGCGGCGGCCTTTTGGCTCCGGGACCTTCTCCTTCGGAGCCGCACTATCTCCGGCGGCCTTTTGAAGCTGGGCGAGTAGCCGGGTACCGAAAGGGCCATGACGCGAAGCGGCTCAGGCCGACCGACCGCCCAGCAAGCACTTCCCGCGCGCCGCGGCCCCGCCCCCGACGTGGCCCCGCCCCCGCGCGCCGCCGCGGGACGTGCGCGGCAGGCAGGCCTCCCGCGAGGTCCCGCCCCCGGCTGCGTTCCTCAGGCCGCTCCAGCCAGGTTCTGGGTTGTGGTCCTGCCGTGAGAAGAGGCGACTGCGGGCAGCACTTGGCCCAGGGCAGGTGTGCACTACCCCACTGGGCATCGAAATGGCTGAACGCTACTCAAGTCTGCAGTAGGGAAGTCATCACCAGGGGTGGAGGTCTGGGCTCTGGGGCCGCTGTGATGGGCTGCTGCGTCCATAGAGGTGGTGACAGGGCCAGCGCCTACCCCATGCCCTCCTTCCCCAACGGAGAACTCAGAAAACAGCACACTGCAAGCTCAGTACCCTCTTCCCAAGGCCAGGCAGTCCCAGCCCTTCACGCAAATTCTCCATAGCTCCCACAGGACAAGTTCCTGTGATCCTTGTTCCTGAAGAAACTCGAAATGAATGAATAATTCAAAACAAAATTTAAGTGTATATGAGTTAGATACTTTTGAGACCTGAAAATATATTCAAAAACTTGAATTTTGACAGCACAGAAAGGCTTGTTAGGTTGTTTAAAATGGAATTAATACATAATTAATAGCATTACTTTCACAGTATAACAAGGCCTGTAACAGACTCAGAAGAATGGTGTGGATTTTGCTGAAAGCAGAAGTTTTTCCCATTAGAAGAATTTTATAGGAGAGGAAAATGTGTGGGGGAAAAAAAAAAAACACCTAAAAATGGCTTTCAGAGTACCCCCTTCAAATGTTATAGAATTATCTTGGATCATCTGCACAATAAATTGGAAAATATTTTTCAAATATGTCAAATAACCAAACATCTTGTGAGCCAGAAAACATGCTTAAACACTGAACAACTTGCTTTTATCTTCCTTGATTTTTCCCAATTTCCAAGGAAAACTCTGGCTTCAAATACTGTGATGGATGGTTCATCCAGCTGAGGTCTGAGAAAGAAGATTAAAATTGAACAACTTGCTTTTTTCTTCCTTGATTTTTCTGAACAACTTCCATGGAAACTTTTGCCTCATACAGTGGAATAGGTTCATCCAACTGAGGTCTGGAGAGAAAAATTATTACAAACGTCACAAATGTTCAGAACATACTGGACAATAGTTGACAGTTGCCATAGTTTAGCTATATTACTTTAAAATAGGTCAAACTTGTCCATTAGTATTCCACTGTTAAAATTGGTTAAATTTTCAAGGGGAAAAATACCTTCTTTATCTATTCTAAGTGGTAAACTGATTCAACTTAAACATATCGTATTTTTCCCTCTTTTCAAGCTATGGATTATTTGGGAGGGGTGATGAGAAAATGCAAAGAGCGAAGTACAGAAAGGAACAGAAGGCAGGAAACTCATAGGACATTTCTATCTTCGGGAAAACTTACTGATATAACACCAGATATACTTTGAGAAATATTAAGTGGTAAATGTTTATCTAAACTAAATAAGATATGGAGGCAATAGGTATACTGCAAAAGCTGAAACAAAAACATTATCTCCTGGGGAATAGAAAAATAAAAATGATTTGGCACTTTAGCATACCTAAAAATACCAGCTGATAACTTCTCCATCACATCTTTTAAAATGCGTAGCTGGAAGGATTGTTAAGGTGGCAACATTAAAGAGAAAAGATTAAAAACATTCAATAGGCCGAAGAAACTAGGCAGGTCTGTTCTTTTTCAAGTTTTGCACTCTCAGAAATTCAAAATGTTGTTACAGAAATTCTGTAAGCTGTCAAGTTTACCTGTAAAACAGGAATGATTTGAGAGAGTTGGTATTACTAAGTCTAAATTTCTAAGTATAGGTGGGAAGAGCAGCAAGCCTAAGGGATGACCACTTTTATACCAATGAATGAAGGCAGAATGATGTATTTAGCACTTACTTTTTACATCTCTTACGTCTGGTTGGTAACAGACCAAAGTATGTGTGTGTGATATATGTCACTAACAGAATCAAAATTATGTAAAATGAAAAAATCTTTGTTGGGAATTTAAGTGAAATCATAATATTGAGATTAAAACTATGTGATTGCTAATACTGAAGAGTTATTTAAGGCATAGAATCAAAAAGCTGGAAGGAGTTGTCTATGTTAAATCAAGCAACAACAAGCTTATGTGAAGTGATTGAGGGGCCTCTGTACAAGTGAGAACTAAAGACTGATTCAGCACTTTAGAAAACATAAATTAGAAAATATGATCTTAAGTCCTTTTAAAAGAGGAATGACCTAAAGAACATTAATTCACATATTCACATCCCTGCAAATGTCTTTATACTTCTGTTTCTGAAATTGCTGGGTGCAGTGGCTCATGTCTGTAATCCCAGAGATTCAGGATGCTGAGGCAGGAGGATCACTAGTTCGAAGCCAACCTGGGCAATTTAGCAAGGCCTTGTCTCAAAAAAACAGTCTGCAGGATGTAGTTCAGTGATAGAGTGTCCCTGGATACAATATCCAGTACTACCAAACAAACAAACGAAAAATAAATTGGTGTGTGTGTGCACACGCGTGTGCGTGTGTATACATACACACACACACAGATGCCCTATGACTTATGATGGGATTTTGTCCCAATAAATCCACTCTAATCTAAACATATCATAAATCAAAAGTACATTTAATAATAACCTACCAAATATCCCGTTTAGCAACACAGTACACTGCAGAGTATTGGTTGTTTCTCCTCATGATCTTACAGCTGACTGGAAGATACATCTTGTTGCTGCTGCCCAGCATTGCAAGAAAATGCAGTGTATTGTACTGCATATGGCTAGCCCAGGAAAAGGTAAAAATTCAAAGTACAGGGCTGGGACTGGGGCTCAGTGGTAGAGCGCCTGCCTTGCACAAGTGAGGCACTGGGTTCGATCCTCAGCACCACATAAAAACAAATGAAATGGAGGTACTGTGTCCATCTACAACTAAAAAATAAACAAATATTTAAAAAAATTCAAAGTACAGGACTGGGGTTGTAGCTCAGTAGTAGAGTGCTTGCCTAGCATGTGTGTAAAGCACTAGGTTCCATTCTCAGCACCACATATAAATAAGTAAATAAATAAATAAGGCCTATTGACAACTAAAAAATTTTTTAAAAATTCAAAGTATGTTTTCTATTGAATGCATATTGCTTTGGCAAAACCCCTAAAGTAAAAAAATCTTAAGATGAACCATCATTGAGTTGGAGACGGTCTGTATAGAGCATATATTTTTGATTTTGGAAAATTTAACATTATTTCATATAAACATGTCATATTTCAACCTGATCCAGGGATTTGCAAATAAGTTAAAATGTTCTCATCATAGCTAGGAGTGGTTTGAGAGAATTAACACAGGAAAAACAGTCAACCTTGATTCTCACATGTAAGATTTAAAACATGCTAACTAATGTTATTTGCTTTTTGGGGATGAGTACTAGGGATTGAACCCATGAAGTCACATCTCCTACCTTTTTCATACATTTTTTGAGACAAGGTCTTCATAAGTTGCTTAAGACCTCCCTAAGTTGCTGGGGCTGACTTTTGAATTTGTGATCCTCCTGCCTCAGCTTCCCTACCCATTAGATTAGGTGGATGGCACCATGCCCAGCTACTATTCGTAGTAGTTATATAATATTCTCTATTGTTCATATCTCATGTTAAAAAAATCCTAGATAATTGTGACGCTGGACGCAATTTTTAAAATAAGGAAATAAAAAATTTATTAGAAAAATATTTAATCAAAATATTTTAGACTACTATATTTGCTATAGGAAAGAGTTCTGAAATCTCCTTAACATGCAACACATTCAGTATCCTTATTACATATTATTGTTTTTTCTTTTTTGTTTGGGGTACTGGGATTGAATCAGGCCCTGCACATGCTAGGCAGGTTCTCCACCACTGATCTATACCCTAACCCTAATATTACTATTTTAAACCTTTGAAATAAATCTTTCATTACTCCTTGAAGGGGCTGACCTCTATACACATCGCACACATATAACTATGCACATTTGACAAAGGTAATGTATGGTGTTCAGTGGAGACAAATATAAAGGTATGTAAATCTCTTCACACAAAAGTTATCATATAATGAAGATCTTTTTATCCAATACATTGAAACTTATTAAGTACAACTGTATATAAAATGGTGATCTTTGAAATAAAAGCAATTCTTAAGAGAAGTTGATTCTCCTTGAGAGAATTTTGGACCTTTCTTTTTGGAATTGCTTTCACCTTCCTTCTCACAGGAAAACTTCTCATTACTTTCACCAAAACTGGAATGATTTGACTTCATTCACTAGATTTGTCTCTAATAATGACTTTTTGTTTTGGTGGTACAAGAGATTGAACCCAGGTGCACATTGACCTACATTCTTCGCCTTTTTTTTTTTTTTTTTGAGACAGGGTCTCATTAAATTCCTGAGGTTGGCCTCAAACTTGCAATCCCACCTTAGCCTCCAGAGTAGCTGAGATTACAGGCATGCATCACCATGACCAACTAAATGATTTCTATTTTTAAAAATCCAGATGCAGCCTCATGTGATGAAGATTTCTCAGCACTGATGTTATAAAATACCAACTGTTTAGATAAGTACTGTGAATTTTTTTTGTGCAATGATACCATCATAAAGGTAAGGTGTACACCTCTCAAGGTGACATGTGTAATGTCAGGTTAAAGAGAAAACCAAACATCTTCCACATGATATTATGGTTTATTTCTGACCCTGAAAGGAAGGAGGCTTTCTGGGTGTGATTTTTTTTTTTTTTTTTTTTTTTTTTTTTTTTTATGGTGCTGGGGATTGAACCCAGGGCCTTGTGCTTATGAGCCAAGCACTCTACCAACTGAGCTATATCCCCAGCCCTCTGGGTGTGATTCTTGTTCTGCCATTTGATAGCTGTGTACTTGCACATATACTAACCTCTCTGTCCTTCTTCAACTATGAAACAAGATAATAATACTTAAATCTCATGGATTGTTTTAACATTTAAACAAATACCTGCAAGACACTTGGAATACTGTTTGGCATACTCAAGGAGAGTTATCAGATAATTATTTTTCTTATTATCATATGAAAGTAGAGTACAAAGTAAATTTCAAGCCTAAAACAAGTCAGTAGAAGAAAAGGATATAAAGATATTTTCCCTGTTGTACATTTGACAAATTCCAAATTTCATCATTAAGGAAAGCCACCGTTGCTCCCTTGAGGAAAAGGCAATGGCTATCTGGAGGATCCAACTTGACAGAATAAATAAAGACCAATCAATTACTGTGAGCCTAAGAGCAGAAGGATGATTAGTAGCATAGCTAGAAAAAAATTAAATAATGTCCAAATTACAAAAACAGTAAACTTTAATAATATGTAAACTATAATGTTGGTGTAATGTTTTATTTTCTATTTTATGGCCCCAAATGATGAAGAAACAGCAAGGTGTATAGGTTAGATGAAGGACCAATCTAGAATCCTAGTACTGAAGTGGTTGAGGTATTACCAGTCACCTTCATAAGAATAGTAAAAAGTCAAGATTAGCATATGAGAATTATGGTATTGGCATATCACCCATTACATGTTAATTTGAATTCTACAGAAAAACATTTGGAAAATAACTTATTGATACATTTAAACAGTACTTCCAATTTAAATAATTAGGAAGTTGTATAATTTTATACAGAAATATTTTAAGTATATGTCAGTGATGTTTGTTACTAAGAAAAGAGTAGTTTTTAATTTTTTTAAAAATTATTTTGAGAATTGAACCCAAAGGCAATTTACCACTGAGTTACATCCCTAGCACTTGTATTTTTTATTGAAAACAGGGTTTTGCTAAGTTGCTTAGTGCCTAAATTGCTGAGGCTGTCCTTGAACCTGTGATCATCCTGCCTCAGCCTCCTAAGTTACTGTGATTCCAGGCATGTGCCACTGTGCCCAGAAATCAAGTTTTTTTCTGGAGTGGTGGGGATTGAACCTAGGGCTTTAAGCATGCAAGGCAAGCACTCTACCACTGAACTACATCCTCAGTCCTGAAATACAATTTAAAATTCAGAACTCACTACTTTCAAATAACTAAATAAAATTATAATTCATTCTAACTGAAGAATTCTCCTACTAGGCATTATTTTAACATTTTGGCCAACATGTATTTAACATAAAAAACAAACTACATTTCTTTAAACATAGGGTATAATTCAGAATTTGTATTAATTTAGCCATAGCTTGCCTCAAACAAGATTTAGGCATTATTCTTTTTAATTACATTCCTTTGTTCTAACAGTAATGCTTTATTGTTTCTGATAATACCTGAAGGCTTTCTTCTGTTGTTATCCAATGGCCTCCAACACCAAGAAGCGTGATGATATCATGTTTATGCGGTAGTAGTTGTAATTTTACAGCTGGTTCATCATCTTTACTATATAATCTCACTTGTAAATGAATATATATAGAGAGAAAAGAGACATTTTATATTAATCTGACAAAAACTTGTTGTTCAAAAAGTTTTACTTTTTAATATGGTAATGAGGAGGCATTTTTCCTAGAATAAGGCAACACACAGTACATTCAGATACCTTAAAATATACCTTTCATATTGAACATATTTATAAGATTTATTCTATATTTCATTATAAATGAAATAGTATGTTTGCATTTGGAAACTAAGGTAATATGTAACATAATACATAGTTAAGTCTTGTAATGAATTAATTATAACAATGATGGCTTAAAACAGTGGGATGAGCTGCTTTCTAAATAAAGCATTCAGATTCAAAATAGTCATATGAGTTACTTGCAAATCTTGAAATTTAAATCTTGAAAATGGTTTCAGAAAAACAAAACCCACACATGATGGCCAAGGTGGTATTCACAACGAGGCACTGGGTTCAATTCTTAGCACCATATATTATATATATATAAAAAAGTCCATTGACAATTAAAAAAATTTAAAAATATATATACATATATATGTGTGTATATATATACAGAAGTGTACAGATTAGGTGTTGAATAGATATTGGTTAAACTAAGAAAGTTCAAGAAGAGAGAAAACTTAAGAAACTTCTATATGTTTTCCAATAGACACCACAGAAATCAACCATCCAAATAGAGGGCAGCCACACATAGCAGAAATGACTGCAAACAGACATCTGGATAATAATGTGTACTATCTGGGACCAAATGAGATCACAGAAATAGGTTTCTTACAGAGATTTGTCTTCTGTTACTTAAACTTCAATGTCTATCCTTTCAGATACACAGTGATTACAATGGAATAATATGAGGAAACTCCAATTTATTTTACTTTATTTTTAAAAGTATTTTTTTAAGTGGTAGATGGACAAATATCTTTATTTATTTATTCATTTTTATGTGGTGCTGAGGATCAAATCCAGGGCCTCACACCTGTGAGGCAAGCACTCTATCATTGAGCTATAGTTCCAGTCCAGGAAGCTCCAATTTAAACAGAAAAGTCTTTAGTTTAAAAAAAAAAAAAAGGCCTGGAATTAAACTTCCAATTTAATAAATGCATTAACATTATTCCCTGTTTTTTTTTTTTTTAATTTTCCCCTGAAATTCACCAAACTGAAAAAAACTAAATAAGCTACTGATTTTGTAGGTACCAACCTCCAGCATCTAGAACAATATCTACTCCCAGGCCTCCTGTTTCTTCCAAACAGCTTTCAGCAACATCAACCTTCCCATTCGATACATCAATCACTCGGGCTGTAAAGGACAGGAAATCAGGCAATTGTATTATTCTTTTTTTTTTTAATTTTTATTTTTAAAATTTTTATTTATTAGTTGTTCAAAACATTTTTTTATTATTATTAGTTGTTCAAAACAAATTGTATTATTCTGTATGTGATCAACACAAGCCAATCAGGGGGAGAAAAAAAATCTGTTTTCTGAAATGAGTTAAGCAGTTTAATTATTAAATATTAAATTTAAAGGGGAAAATTATATTTCAATAAAACATTTTTCCATTGAGTCTAATTTTGATAAGGTTCAATTCTAAATGAAGGGACTCATAAATTCAGTAAAATAAAAATATGAGCATTTTGTGGATAAAGTAGTCCAAGGATGGTCTGTGGATGCAGAAGATTGCTCTCAATAGCTTAGTTTATGTTACTAGAACTGAGAATCTGAAAACACAGAGATATATATGTATCATTCATATTACAATGTGAATTGGAAGAGCAAGCAGTTTCTTAAATATGTTTAGATTTAATCATTTTTAAAGTTCAGTAATACAAAAGAATAGTTGTTCAACATGGTACTTATCTACTATAAGCTGTTTTATCCTTTCTCAGTCACAGAACCCCTCCCCTTGCTACCCAAAATGGAGAAAAGTCCTGAAGGTAAGGAAAAGGAACATGATTATTTTTATCTGTTAGTGAAAATTAAACTAATCTTAACTGGTTACTTTATTTATTTTTTGTTAAATTTGAGACTTTTTTTTTTTTTAGAGAGAGAGAGAGAGAGAGAGAATTTTTAAAATATTTATTTTTTAGTTCTAGGTGGACACAACATCTTTGTATGCGGTGCTGAGGATTGAACCTGGGCCACAAGCTTGCCAGGCGAGCGCGCTACCTCTTGAGCCACATCCCCAGCCCTTAACTGGTTACTTTTAAAGTATTATATTAGTAGAAAAAATAATTATAGGGCTGGGGTTATGGCTCAGTGGTACAGTGCTCGCTTAGCATGTGCAAGGCCCTGGGTTTAATCCTCAGCACTACATAAAAAGAAATAAGTAAAATAAAGATATTTAAAAAAGAAAAAATAATTATATTTCTATAATAGAACAATTAGAAATTGAACTATAAAAACAAAGAAATGCTTATATTGCAGTTTTAAATTTTTTTTATTTCTATTTTTTGTGGTACTTTGGATTGAATCCAGGACTTGGTGCATGCCAGGCAAATGCTCTACCCTGAGCAATATCCCAGACCCACTATAAATATTTTCAACACCTTGTTGAAGAGAATTACTCTCAGAGATGTTCAGATTAGAGGAACAGTTGAACAGTAATCTGAGATTTGGGGAATGGGATAGAAGACATAAGGGAAAGATGACTGAAATAACCTTGGAAGGGTAGAATTAACCAATAAGAAACCTTTCCCTTCAATAATACCATTTGCTTTCTTTCTACATTCTATTTTCTATTTCCTTCCTTCCTTTTTTTTTTTTTTTTTTTTTTGTAGTGTCGAGAGTGAAGCTAGGCTTTCAGGCATGCTAGGCAAGTGATCTAACACTGAGCTACATCCCCAGTCTTCCATTAAACTTTTGAATCTATTCTTCCTCTTCTCCTTCAGCCCCTATATTGCCTCCCTTTCATTTCTTGGTTATCTCTGCAGGATGCATAATGGAACAATGGAAATAACATGGGTTCTACTGTTAGATCAGACATCAAAACCCATTCCAGTCTCTTTGTCTAATTGTATAACTTGCAGAAGAAGCTAGTTAAATTCTGAGAAGCTACTTCATGGTCATCCACCACAAGGCTGTTGAGAACTTAAGGAGGAAATGTCCACATTGTTCAATGAACATTACTTTCCTTCCTGCTTCCCTTCACTTATACTCTGTTCATCCTCTTTGCTCTTTTTCTGTCAGTTTCTCTGTTCCTATTTTCTTCCTCTCCATACTCACTGCTGTTTGAATAGGTTCAACTTTTTAATTTTTATTTATTTTTTAGGTTCAACTTTTGTAAGAGCTCACAGTCTCCACCATGTCCTGCTCACCTTAAACTATATCTGACTTGTGTTTCTATGTGCATGGATCATTTGTCTCACAGAAAATAGACAACTTTAAGGACACCTGATGGGGTAAAAGATGTTGAGAAACACAGAATGGTGCAAAATATATTGATTTATTGACTGAAACCAAAGAAACAACAGGTATTTCTTAAGTGTGTCAAAGTTCACTTAATAATGCAAACTTGGGTAAGTTGGTAAGACAAAAATTAAAAAAAATTGAAAGATGTAAGTTTAAAAATTTTAAATAATTAAAGATATCACTTAAGTAAATTTGGAATCAGCACAGATTATTTTTTAGCTGTTAGTGCATTTTAAAATTGACTTTCATTTGTGATTCTGTACTTCATTTATCAGTGCAGTTTTTATTTCCCTGAACAATTTCATGTTCTAAAGTCTGTGCTGAGTAATATTACCCACCTATAGAAGACCTAAGTCTTTCAAGGCACTGCTTGTCTTCTAAGCTGTATGCTGTTGAAATCACTTTGGCTCCTCTGTGGTGTGCTAACTGAATGGCTATTGTGCCAAATGCCTGTGTGAAAACACATACATGATGGGTTAACAAATACAGGGTACAGGCCATATCCAATCTATTTATGCTATACAAAATGTATTATATATATTGTATACATATATAGCATACACACACACACACATGTATATATGTACATGTATATACACTTTTTTTTGGTACTAGGAATTGAACCCGGGGTACTTTACATTGAGCCATATTAACAGCCCTTTTTATTTTTGAGACAGGGTCTTGCTGAGAAGCTGAAGCTGGCCTTGAATCTGTGATCTTCCTATCTCAGCTCCCCAAGTTACTGGGATTATAGGCATGCACCACTGCACCTGGCTTACTTTAATATATTTTAAAACATAAATAAACAAATAAAAACTAAAAAGGACTGGGGATGTAGCCCCAAGGTAGACTGCTCCTGAGTCCTTCCTAGGGAAACAAAAAACAAAATACCCCAAAACAAAAAATGTTATAATAAAAAGGAAAAAATGCAAATAAGATTAGTAGGCTAAACATCTGATTGACTTCTTCAGAAAGGGGAGTAGAAAGGCTGCATGAATCACATGCTCAGGTCTGACCACTGCACATCATTTCTAGGATGGAATGCCACATTCAGAAATGTGACCATGGAAAGAGAAAAGGAGGCTGTCAGGGCATTGTTGAAGTACCTGCAGGAATCTAGCTACCTCTCTTTGGAGACTGGAGCACTTTAAACACTCCATCTGTATTTGGACCTGTGAGGTGAGCACAGGGAAACACTACTACCCTGATATTGGACATCAGGCTGAAGCCAATGCTGAAGATAGCTTTGCTTTTTTTCCAGAGACAAGGAGAGGAAAATGATTTTCATCAACAGCCAAATAGAAAACTATAGATTCATCTCAAGTTTTGCAACCATCTTAGAATGTAATATTTTACATATTCTATATTTTTGGTACTGGGAATTAAACCCAGGGGTGCTTAACCATTGAGCCACATCCCCAGCTCTTTTTATTTTGAGATAGTCTCTCTCTAAGTTACTTAAGGTCTCACTACATTGCTCAGGCTGGCCTCAAACTTGTGATCCTCCTGCCTCAGCCTCCAGAATCATTGGGATTACATGTGTGCCACCAAGACCAGCTATTTTTTTTTTTTCAGTTGTAGATGGATACAATATCTTTACTTATTTATTTTTATGTGGTGCTGAGGATCAAACCCTGTGCCTCACGCATGCAAGGCAAATGCTCTACCACTGAGCTACAACCCCAGCCCAAGATCAGCTATTTTACATAATCTTTTAGTGTCTATTATTATGATAGTCTATTTTTTGATGATATATGGAATACATTTAAATCAGTTTATTTTGACACCAAAACTTTATTAACGTAAGTGTAAGTATTGGTGATATGATTGATACAAAACCAGTAGGAATTCCAGACTTTGTATAACAGGAATGAATAAAAATGGCTTGGCTGGACATACAGCTCAGTGGTAGAGAGCTTACTGCACAAGGCCCTGAGTTCCATCCCCAGCATGGGGAGGGGTGGGGGGAGACTTGTCTGCTTTTTTTTGTAGTTCTGGGGATGAAACCCAGGGCCCTGTACATGCAAGGAAAGCACTCTACCAACTGAGCTATGTCCCCAGCCCCTTTGTCTGCTTTTTAATGTACTGATAAGTTTAAAATAATTAGAAACTAATTACACTAAATCTAACTTTGGCCTCCTATTGATAAAAGCAGTATATGGTAACAAAATGGGAGGCTGGTAAGAAATCTCAGTGGTCAAAGGCCCACGAATTCAATCCCTGGTACTCCCTGCGCCCCGCCAAAAAGAAATCTGTTATTAATCTATTGGCAAAGAATTCTATTAGCTTGTTTCTAAATTTCCTAAGTCAACTTTAATCTTTTTCTTAAGGAAAACAAAACAAAACAAAACACTGACACTTACACTTGCTCCATCCATTATCAGCACGGATTTTCCAGGAGAGAGATGAGAAAGATAATGCAGGGCTGTATAAGCTCGCACTCCATCCCGAATAGCTCCAGCAGCTTCTGTCCACGTAACCTTTTCTGGTTTATGAACTATCACAAGGAATAAGAGGACACGATCCATTAGCAAGTCCTATTCGTACTGCCTTCTAGATCTATTTCTATCTCTTCAACCATGGACCATGGCCTTGGTCCAAGCCCCTGCTCCTGTTACTCTTTCCCCAACATTATGGTTTCCTTGTTTCCCTTCTTGTCCACGTATAATCCACTCTTAAGATAGGCATAAAGCACAGCTGCATTAATAAATGAAAAGCAAAAGGTAAATAAGCACCATCCTACTAGAGAAACACTGCATAAGGATCATTCCAACAACCTCCTCTTTCCCTACCAGAGGTCACCATTCTAACTCAATTTGGGATTCACCTTCATGGCTTATCACTCAAGTATGCATTCCTAAACCAACATTCAGTTTTGCTTGGTTTTGAACTTTTATTTAAATAGAAGTATTCTTTGCTCTCTTGCCTTTCATGTTGAACATTATGTTTTTGGGAGACACCTTTTCTGTGCCCTTTCACTTGGGAGGTTGTGGTACTTTGGTTTTTGTTGTTTTATGGTAGTCTAATGTGTGCAAACACCTTTGGTTATCTATTCTCCAACCAATGCACATTTGTGTTGTTTCCAGTTGTATCAGTGACAATGCTGCTAAGAATGTTCTCCTAATATTAAGGACATTATTACACTATGCATGGTTTTCACTAGGATATTTACATTGGAGTGGAAATCCCAGGTCCTAGACCATATTACCTTTGACTTATACTTTTAAGTGTGCTTGTATAAATTTACTCCCTCACAGCACTGTCTTTTTGCTGTAAACTCTTCTATCAGATTTTCACATTTTTGCCAATTGTGTATAATGGTTTCTAACTATGATTTAAATTTGATTTTTTTTTTTTTGACTACTGAAAAGGTTGATCCTCTGTCTACATTTGCTGGCCTTTTGAAATTCTTTTTATGAAGTGACTGTCTTTGACAAATTTTCTATCATTCTGTCTTTTTTAAAATTTATTGACTCATAGGAATTCTTAGTCATTTGTGCTGTAAGTATTACAAGTTGAGTCATTTGTCTATTTATGTACTATAAATACTCCAAGTGAATATTCCTTATCTGCAATACTTGGGGCCAAAAGTGTTTTGGATTTTGGAATATGTTCTTGTATGTAGTGAGTTATATTAAGGATGGAAACTAAGTCTAAACATGAAATTCATTTATGTTTCACATATACCTTATATACATAGCCTGAAGGTAATTTCATAAAGTATTTTTAGTGTGTCTTTGTTTTGTCTGCAACCTGTCACATGAGGTTGGGTGCAGAATTTTTCACTTGTGGCATCATGTCAGTACTCAAAAAAATCCAGATCTTGGAGCATTTTGGATTTCAGATTATTGGATGCTCAACCTGTATTTCAACCTTGGGGGTTTTCTTGCAAATCACTTTAGTGATATCTTTGAAAATAGAAGTATTGGAATAACATTCTAACATTTCTCTGATTAAATTTATCAATGGCTTTCATTATACTTGGAAAAAAATGCAAACTCCTGATATAGTTAAAAAAGTTGTGTATGATCTGATCATTAAGCTGTTCCTTTATATGTTTCACTGTTTTTGTGTTCATGTTGCAAACTGAATGTTATTTTTTCATACTACAAGCAATCCTTTCTCATTTTAATGCACTTTTTATGTTTTCACTAGCTCTTTCAAATCTGTTTCCTCTAAGGGCAATAGATTCAGATGGACAAGACACAGGGAAAGCACACATCACTGCACTAGCGACAGAATACTGCCCTCTAGTGGAGCATTCAAGCATATGTTGAAAATGTTCAGGGAATGAAAATAGCCAGAACACACTAAGTATACATATGATAGCACATAAAGTACTTTATTTCTTATGAAACTCTTTAAGATAGGTATAATATTAAAATGTATGTATTTTGGTTTTCTCCTGTGTTCCTGGATCATAACTCCCATTGCCCTTGTTATTTCCTATATGACCAGTACAATAAGCATATCTTGTATTTGAATTTTTGTCTTTGGTTCCTGAAGCAGCTTCAGAACAATTCAGTTTAGTAAAAGCCAATTTTTTTATAATATTGGGATGCTTTAGCTTTAGAAAGCAAAGTCTCTGTCTCTCTTTCTCTCTGACCTTCTCTTCTCTACCTTTCCCCTACTCTCTGTTCTCTCCAAGGCAGAAAACTAGCAATCTTTTCCCCTAAGGTAAGTCAGAGAAACCAAAATTATGTTCTCTTATCTTTCTATCTTGGAGCTGGGCTGGCAAAAAAGAACTTCTGTGACACATCTAGTCTGACAGCAGATATTAAGGCTTCAATTTCAGAAAGGGTCCTGCCCCACACCCAAGACGAAGGAATGTTGCAAAGAAAGGCTAGGAAGAGACAGGCCTTGTTGGGTTTTTCTACTAAATCTATTAATATTAGGTAATGTCCTTTTTGTCCAATCTCATTTATACATGGTTGTCCATGCTTCAATCATACCCATGTGATGAAGTCCTCATAAAAAACTTAAATGGACAGGGGTTGAAGAGAGAAATCTAGATAGCTGAACATGTAACAGCTTGCAGGAAGGTGAACAAGAACTTATCCATGTGTTGGGAGGGTGGACAGCCCAATTCAACAGGTACAGAAGCTCCTAGACCTTGCTCTATGTATGTCTTCATTTGGTTCAATAAATAATAAATAATACCCTTCAAAATATCCTTTATAATAAATTGACAAACATATTTCTGCAAACCACTCTACTGAATTAATCAACCCTAAAGTTGGAACCCCAATTTGTTGCTGTCTGGTCAGAAGTTCTGAAGCCCACAACTATGACCAGTATCTGAAAAGAGGACAGTCTTCTGGGACTCAATCTCTAGGATCTGATACTATCTCCAGATGTCGGCTGTAGAATTGATTGCTCTAACATTTTGAGACCATACTAGAAGTGATCTGTGTTATGGGGTATATAGTACAAGAAATTGAGTCTGTGTTTGTTTTTTCCACCGAATAGCTATTCTCTTAATTTTCTTGATTAAGAAATGGGGTTCAGGGTAACTAAGTTGTTCAAGGCCCACATAGATAGTAAGATACGACTCTAAAGCACATCTACTCTAACAATTCATGCTCAATCTACAGTTTACCTATATGGCCTTTCTTTTGGAACACTTCCCTTTGTAAGAATTGTGACTACCATATTTTATCAAAATATCAGTCATGTAGTCCTTAAAAAAATACTAAAAGACAATGTTGCCAAATTTAAAGATCCTAAAATTACAAGGTTAAATGTGGGTTAATGTCAAGATTCTTGCTTTTCTGTTAGGTAGTCAACAGGTACTTATTATGTTACAAAAAATAAACAAGAGTCATGTGCAGATTAATAATAAAGTATATCAGTACTGAGAAAATTATAATTTCACTTCTTTATTGTTTATGACCAAAGTGCTAACAGAACAGTGCTGCAAATGTGTGCCAAATTTTTGTTTTATTTTGTTTTGGTAGTGAAGGTTAAACCCGGGGATACTTTGCTCCTGAGCTTTTTAATTTTTTTTTTTTTTTTAATTTTGAGACAGGGTCTCACTAAGTTGCTTAGGGCCTTACTAAGTTGTTGAGGCTGGCCTTGAACTTGAGATCCTCCTGTTTCAGCCTCCTGAATTGCTGGGAATACAAATATGTGTCAATGTTGCCAAATTTAGAATGAAAAATAATTTTTATGTTTGACAGAATGACTTAGGAACTAAAAGTAGAAAAGAGCTGGAAGAATTATTCAATTTTAAGCTCTAGCATTAATATTGTACAAAATAAGATTAACAGCACATTTGAGGAGGTTGTTTGGAACATTATTCTTTGGTTTGATGAAAGAACAGACTTTGAGTTGAGGTGACCAAATGCTGAGCTCTCATTAAACAATCACTAGGTTAAGAATTAAAAAGAACCTCAAATAGAGTTGTGGTAAACTGAAAATTTCCCTCTGAAAAGTTTCATGGAGCATACTGAAATTATCCCCCCTTTTACAAAATGCTACAAAATGCTGGTGCTGCAAACAGAATGCAGAGGTTATCTAGTTGAGTCTCCTCATTTATGAATGTAGTCAGCAAGCCCTAGGAAATTGCCTACAGGTGACACTGCCAGTGGTCATTCCTAAAGGACCTTTATATGGAGTTTGTACTGGGAATTGAGCACAGGGCCTTAACATGCTATGCAAGTGCTTGACTTTTTAAAATTTTATTTTAAAATGTTAGTAAAATTTTATTTTGAGGTTGAGGTAGGAGGATCGTAAGTTCAAAGTCAGCCTCCGCAACAGCAAGGCACTAAGCAACTCAGTGAGATCCTGTCTCAAAATCAAATACAAATTAGAGCTGGGGATGTGGCTCAGTGGTTGAGTGTCCCCGGAGTTCAATCCCTGGTACCCACCCCCCCCTGCAAAAAATAAAAATTATTTTGAGACAGAATCTCACTAAATTGTTCAGCCTGGCCTCAAACTTGTGATCTTCCTGCCTTAGTCTTCTGAGTAGCTGGGATTATAGGGGGTGTGTCACCATGTCAGACTAGGGCAAGTGGTTTTTTCTTTTTTAAAAGTTGTAAATGGACAGCATGCCTTTATTTATTTTTTTATATGGTTTCTAAGGATTGAACTCAGTGCCTCACACATGCTAGGCAAGTGCTCTGCCACTGAGCTACAGCCTCAGCCCAGGGCAAGTGTTCTTAATTCCTGTACTGTTTTGTACATTTTTAATTTCAATTAATAACCAGGCACACTGGCAATGTAGCTCAGTGTTAGAGTACTTTAATAAAACAACAAGGACAATGACAAAAGATATTCCAAGAGAAAGAATTTACAAAATTCTGATTAAGGATATAATTTTAGAGCTAAGAAAGAAAACATTTTCATATTTCTTACCATAAGCTGTTTGTAAAACTCAAAGGTCTACACACTGTTTAGTCTGAATATGAATTTTATGAATAACAATTATAAACTAGAAGTATTGACATGACCTGCCAACAGTTATAACACATTAATACGACTTATATGAGGTCGGAATACTGAATTGCTACATACCCAAGTAATGTTCATGTACTCTAATCACTTCACAAAGTCCAGGGTCTTCAGAATCCAGGGGCAAAATTCCTAAAATTTAAAAAGAGATCCTTAAAGAAAACTAAAATGTATTCATTCAAAATGAACATATTTGTGTAAATTTTGTTCGGTGGAATTTTAAGGAAGGTTTCAGTAATTATCATTGTGGGGAAGGGAGACTTCAGAAATATGGAAGGGGACTGTATATTTTCTGGTATAAACATAATGATGCTTGTGCTATCTCCATATTTGTCTCTTCTGTTACTTCTACAGTGTCATAAAGATAATAGTCAATGATATAGAGCTAAATCAGAGTCTTGGGGAAACCTGGAATTCCTGGGTAAAACTGTCTTTGATATATATAGCTACCTTCCTATGGTTTGGTTTCATGTAATACCTAGGTATGTTTTCAATAAAAATATCATTTTTATTTTTGGTCTCTTCCAAAAGCATCTGGGGTAATACAGAATTTCATTGACTTCACGGACAAAAAAAAAAAAATTATCAATTCTCTAGAAAAATTAGACAATCCTATAAAAAGCTGAAAAAAATCTTTCTACAAATCTGTTCTTTAATAGCTTAAACATGTTATAAGGGGCTGCAGTTATGGCTCAGTGGTGGAGCTCTTGCCTGGCATGTGAGGTCCTGGGTTCCATCCTCAGCATCACATAAAATTAAATAAATAAAATAAATGTATTGTGACTGTCTACAACTAAAAATCATAAATTTAAAAAAATGTAATAAGGCTAAGTAATTTTTTAAAATTTATATGCATATCTTCCATGAAAAAAATGGAAGTTTCAAAGACCACAAATAAAGCCATACTCTATATGTTTGTGTGACTATCTAGGATACAAGTATAAATACATATATATTTTTTGAGAAAAATATTATTACAGTAATTAAGGTTTTAAGAAAACTATATATTAATGTTTCAAGTCAATTTTTAGTTTTCAATACTAGCAAGGGAGCTCTGTAGGACTCAAGTGAGAGTGGAGAACAGAGATTCTGTAAGGCCCAGCCAGTCAGTGGTTGTCAAGCATAGGCCACACAACTTTCCTTTTCTTGAGAGACTTCAGTGTGTCCACAGACTGGGGACTGGAAAGAAAAGTACTGTATCAAGCACAGCAGCAATTATGGTTATTTTTCAGCCTAAAAAACTGCCCTATAGCCAACTATTGACAAGCTTCAAAAGTTGTGCTAATTTGGATTAAACTTCCAATTTTCTTCATTAATGGATACTTGAGAGTAAATTCTCAAACTCTTAATATTTTATTTTTTGCCTTGCTGGGACTGAACCCAGGGTCTCACTCATGCCAGGCAAGCACTTTACCACTGAGCTACACCACCAGCCCAGGAAAGTATTTAATCTATGAAGTAAGGTCACAATGAACATTAATAAAAAGAGAAAGAAGAAGAGATGGCAATAAAACCAATGAACTGAAAATGAACTGTGAACTAAAACTTACCAACTACTTCATCATCTGGTTGCAAGAATGATACCTTGGTTCCAACTAGAGAGAAGAAAATTAATAGTTACCATCATAAGGTTACTAAATATAATTCTTATTTAACTAAAGGATCCATGGGTTTATAAAAAGTCATTCATTCAAAGAAAAGGCTAAGAAGGAGGACATTATAATAGTGTGTGAAGACTCTAGGACAGAACACTTCAAATCTGGATTCTCTACAGAATCTGGGGCACACAGTTACTGAGAGCATGGAAAAATATATTTCTCTCTATGGCTCTCTGTCTACTAGCTAACTTTAAGGATAAAGGAGTAAAAGAAAATAATCCATCCCCTAGTTTCTATGATGATGATGTTGTTTTCTACAACACTTTCTGGCTAATCCTTCAATTATTATTTTAGTTGCAAATCTCAAGACACACAATGGATAATGCTGATAGGAGTCACATGTAAAGACTACTTTATTTTGTGAAGACATTCAGAAAGTTTATGAAATTTTATAGTAATTAATTTAATTATATTTTCTTTGCCTATGCAGAGAAAAGTCAATTCATAAGAATATTTTTATTCAGAGTTATAAGAGAAAAAAATGGCAGTGCTGTTGAATGCCTACTTGTACCCAGCACTTTAGCATGTTCATGCATTTAATCTTTACAACAGGCCCATGAAGTATTATTCTTCTATTTTACACACAGGAAAACTGAGATGAAGCAGTACAATATTCTGGAAGTGGCCCCTTTAGTTGTCTCTAAGCAAAATGGCCCCAAAACTCTTCTGCTGGTACCCAGCAAATAACTCTAAGCTGGTATTCCTCCTTTTGCAGTTTGCTTCTTGGGATCCCTCCTGTGCTATTACCCATCAGTATGTTTGGCTTCTGACCCATTGAATTTTTCTTTCCTTTCTGCTGCTGATCCACATCCTCTTGAGATCACTTGGACCCATTTTTGGCCCCCTTTACACTCTTCTTTTAATTATTCCTCAACAGGTGCCTCTTGAAGAGTTCTATGTTTACATGTCTCCTCCATTTCTACACGTTCTTTGGATGAGTTTATCAAGTCTATTATTTCAAATACAATCCACATGCTGACAACCCTCAAATATAAACATTTCCAGCATGGATCCTTTACCCTTGATATTCAATTCACATAACAGATTACTGGATATCACCAATGAGATGTTATTTAAGTACCTGGACCTCAATAAGTATAAATCTGAACTCATCACCTTCCAGATTGGATCCTCTTCATTTATCAATTTGTGGTACCAATTCATGCCTAACTAGAATTCTCTAAGTCATTCATGGTCCTCATCTGTGTTGATTTCCCCAATTTCAATCCATTGTTAAGTCCTGCTGACTCCCTCAATATTTCTTCAGTTTGTTCCTCTTTTCTACCTCTGCTACCACCACTCTCTAGGTTTTATTATTTCTTGTTATTTCTTGTCTGTGGGTCTACAAACCAACTAGTCCTCTGATGTAGGGGCTGGTTTGCTTGCCTTTCCATGGCACCTTGCTTCTTTGTCTTGCTAATGATTCCCTCTGCTATGATTCTCTACCTGCTGGCCTCTGGCCATTTGGGCAATTTACTCTAAGAAGTCTTTCCTGTTTTTCTGGCTGGGTTGGGCAGTTTTCCTTGAAGCTTTCATAATAATCTATTCAAATGCATGTATCTGTCTTTCTTTTAGACAGTTATCTCCTTGAGGGCAAGGCCTTTATCTTAGTTATATCCTAAGGACTTAGCAAGTCCTTTTCAAATTGAATGAATGAATGCATGCTCCCCTGGTTATCATACTTATTTTTTCTATATTTTGAGTAGACTAAAAGAGAGGAAACAAAAAATTATCATTTAGGTAAGTGAGAGGATAACACTGAGAAAGAGTAAAATTCACAGTAAAACTGAAATATAGACCAACCCACATTAATGTACCTATTCACATATGTAGGGAGAAAACATATACTGATTGATTATGAACTACCTTTTAGTAGTGAGTATTAAGATTAGGTCTATTAATCTCAAATAATTAGGCTTACTGTTCTGCATGCTAAAAAGCAATATTTAAGGCAATCATAAATCTCACTGATTATTTCTCTTCAGAAACTACAATTCCATTTCTAGATAAATGAAGTACTTAACTTTCAAAATGCTCAATTTTAGGCACAGTTAAATTTAACTTATGATTACATAGAATTTGTCCCAAAGCTAGCTTATACAAGAAATATACGCTTATTTGTAAATATCATTAAAAGGACAATGTTAGTCATCCTACTGAAGATGATTACTCATGAATTTAAATATATAATACTTAAATATCTTCTAAACTCTGTTAAGCTCTTTAATTATAAATTAAGTCCTAATTTTTTTCCAGAATATTTATTAAGCAACTACTATATGTCAGGTTAAGGTTAGTGTTCCTTCTAGGCATAAAGAAAGGAACAAAAGTCTGTGCCTTCAAGGAGTTTCACACTCTATTGGGGTCTTTTATTTGTATTTAAGAATACAAATAGAAGCAGATAGTCAAGGACATAAAGAAGGTATGCTGAGATGATGTGGCATAAGCTTGAGTGGCAGGAAGGGCTTCTTTCTCAGGTCACTGTGGAATACAGGAAGGAGCCAAGAGCAAACTGGGGGAAAGCATCCAGGTAGATCTTCCATTTGCCCCAATCTTCCCTTAATCCAGGCCCTGATCCAAAAAATGTCTCAAAGGAAACCCAGTCCAGAATTGTGAAGTTCCTACCTTTATTATCTGGATTTCTAGGGTCGGGGTGGACCAGACAGAGGAGTCTGCCAATGGAAGGCTCTGGCAGCCACTTCCTCATGGGCAGGGTGCCCCAGGTTTGCTCTGGCCAGGGGCAGAGGTCTGACTTACTGTCTTTTGGGAAACATTGCCCCTGCACCATCTCCCTCACTCAAGTGTCCCCAAAATCCCAGGCCAGGCCAGAAGCCAGGGCTGAGTAGAAGGGTTGTGGTGATGCCCAGTCCTCAGACAGGCTCCTGCACTCCAGGTTTACTGACTTAAGGATGGGGCCTTCTAAGCATCCCCTTTGATAGGTAGGTCAAGTCCTTGGGGTATCACAGGGGTGGGCCTGGTCCCCAGGATTACAGAGATTGTGAAAACACCAAAGACTGGCTCAGTCCCACACTAGCAGGTTGGAGAATACACTAGGAAGCCGTGAGAATGGACCTCCTAGGAGGGGAAGGGGAGCTGTGTGGCATAGAAAGATGCCTAGGTCATGTGAGCGGGTCCAAGAGGTGCCAGGTCACTTCTTGGTGTGGTCTGCCTTGTCCAGGACAGCCATGATCAGGTGATGATAATGATGAAGGACTTGAGCAAAATGATGGGGGGTGGTGATCCACATGCTTATTTGGAAAAACCCCACAGAGCTGACTAATGGTTCCTTGGAGAAATTGAAGAGCTCACTTTCAACACAACAGAGCTGGCCTGGAGGTGTAGTAGATTCTGAAGCACTGGATTCCCAGATAAGTTGATGATGCTTTGGACGGCAGAACATGATTAAAGGCTTGAGCGGAATGTTCATTGAAAAGTGTCCAGAAGTTCGCTGAGCAGGTAGGAGGAGTAGGCCATGAGAGGACAGCAGGGTATGAAGCAGAAAGTAATGATGTAAAGACAATCTGGCACAACCGAAAAGGTCAGGCATGAACAGGAAGATATTTTCTCTTGACACCGTGATGGTCTCTTGCCATCCTGGGTCCTCTCTAAAGGTACCAGCACAGAACCAGCTCCACCAGTGTGGCCTTACTCCTTGGTCCTTGAGTATCTGCTGGGACACCTACATCCTGGTGCCCATTGCCGGCCTCCAACCCCAGATGTTAAAATCTTGCAGCCCATAGGAGCACTGGCAAAGCAGATGTGCTCCAGATGCAGAGGGCCTCCCTGCACACCTTGGCCTTATGGGCAGCGCCTCACCTCCACGTGCCCTGCAGGCTTTCCTGCTCCATCAGCATCCCTGCTGCTCCAGCTGCACCTGGCTTCCTGGAACCTACTCTTCTGCCAAGTCCTATTTTTAAGAAGGTCATTTTTGTATAATAAAAATTTACATTTGAAGGGGTGTCTATGATTTTAGTGCCAGTAAACTATTATGTCATTTCTTTTACCTTGGAAAAAAATATTTACATTTGTAAACTTACCATCCAAAACAATTCCAGCAACTTCTCTTCCAACAGGAAAGAAATCCTTTTCCATCTTCATTTCCGCCAGAAGCTATATCATGACAGAAACTGTTAGCATACTATTGTCATGAATAAATCCTGTTTCTCCTCACACACGAGAAAAGTCAGAACAAACATCAAGTCACAGAAAGAGAAAATATGATTTAATTTTTGAAATTAAAACAAACAAAATAGATTTCTTTGTAGCATAGGAAACCAAGAATTTGATAAGTAGTTGATATATAGGACTTTCACATAGTATTATTATTCAAATAACTATTAATGCTTCTGTTTAACATCTTTATTTTACCATGTATGAAGGGAAATTAAGGCCCAGATATTTCTTGGTCGAACACTGTTACTTAGTCTTCTATTCAGGAGTACGGAGGGGAATCTAGGGAGGTTATTGTTGAATAAGGGAAATGTGATCATTAAAAACAAAGGTGGTCTATTACCACATCCTTTAAAAATCGCCTGAGTTTTTCCTCACAAATCTTGGGTTAGGAAACAGGTGGGAAGAATACATAGTAAGAGTAAAATTACCATGATTTCCGACTCCTGGAGAGTGTAGTTCATTTTTTTTTAAAAAAAAATCAGTGTTTTGTTAAGATTATTTTGTTAGATCCGAACCAAACTGATAGTGTGTTCTTATCTTTTAAAATAACAGAGAATACTAAAATAATCATGTATTTAAGTTCCTGTAACTTACAACAGCACCAGAGAGACTGAACATATTTGTAGATATAATAGGTATTTTAGGAATAGCAAATAAAAAAATGAAACAATTCTTTGTTATGTTTCCTTTATTTTTCAAAATTACAAATCCAAGTCTCCCATGTGTATAGCATTTTCTTATATTACTCCATAGTCTTTATAAACCATTATGTCTAACATTTGTATAATATTAATTCAATTGGTTTTTACTATAATTTACTATTTCTTTCTGTCAGAGTGATTTTAACAGATTTTTCATAGCTTTAAAAAGTACATCTTCCAATCATAAATATGCAGACAAGGACTTGTACTCATATTCTTGGTGAAAAAACTTCAGGGGAATCTCAATTCATTTCTCAAGTTGTGTTCATCTTATGAGTTACCCAATGGGAGCCTTGTTCTTTAATTTTGGCTTTGAGTTCATCAAAGAAAACTAAGATTCTTAGGAATTATGATTACATTAAAATCTAAAAAATTAATGATCTGATGAAGTGTTATTCATCTTTAAAAAACTCAGAAGATGGAGTTGTTCTACTTATCATAGCACGTTTAACAATAATTTGTTTACCATTTGAATATTTTCCATTTATTTTTATGGTCAATAATGAAAACACAACCTTGGGATGGTGTAAGACTGGAGATATGAGTTTATGAGTGAGAAAGAGAGAGAAATGATAAAACCATATAAAAGTTGTAAACTAGAAATATCATATAATCAATGGTCAACAAACTAATTGATTAGGTTTCTTGCAGGGTGTTATGGTGCACACCTGTAGTCCCACTGCTTTGGGAGGCTGAGGAAGGAGGATCACAAGTTCAAAGCCAGCCTCAGCAAAAGTGAGGTGTTAAGCACTCAGTGAGACCCTGTCTCTAAATAAAATACAAAATAGGGCCGGGGATGTGGCTCAGTGGTCAAGTGCCCCTGAGTTCAACCCCTTGTACCCCCAAAACAAAACAAAAATAAAAATTCATTAGGTTTCTAGTTTCTATTTTTATTGCTATTAAAAAGGTAATTTTCCCCTTAATCAATATGCCTTAGTAATTATAAACTCTCAGTCTTTTGCTAAGTAATTTATAAAATATTCTCATGTAGTGATATAAAATAGAAGACCTTCAATCAAACTAGTAATTAATTGTAGTAGAAATACACAAATGTGAATTAAATATTTTTCTTAGATTCAATTTTTCTATGGACAATAATTTCTTGGCATTAAGAAGTCAGTTATCATTATAAATACATTACAAAACTCTGATTTGACTTTTGGCCATAATAAAAGCATCAATACCTTTGTATTTATTTGGCTCAAAGCACAAGCTTTAACTTGGAGTTTCACAAAGTTATCCTCTGTAATAGGAAGATTTTCCTAGAATCAAATGATAGCAAAATATTGTTACATATTCTATGAGAACACTCCTTTTTGTTTTAAAATTTTCTTACATAAACAAATTTAAACTGAACCTAAATCTTACGGTTAACTCAATTTTAAAAGCAACAAATAACTACCCAATATTATAGGATAAAAAAAGAATGAAGGAAATTTGGAGATACAATTTATACAATGCTTTAGAGTTCATATTTTGAAAATTACTCAGACCTCAAAATGGACATGTGTATAGACAATAAACTTAGGTTAACAAAACAGAGCAATAAATTTGTACTTTATTCCAATATAAATCATCTCAAAGCTCAGACCTTCACACTTACAGGGATATCCTTATACTCATACATACATCACATAGCCTTTACTAATTTTTGTAATGTTCTTAATGTTATAAATAAAATTCTTTAGCATCATTAACATCTGTCTCAGATATTTTAGCATATTCCACGGAATTAACTATCATATTCCACAGTTAGATAAAACTTCAAAGGCAAAAAATATTCAAAATTCAGGCACTCAATGTCATCCTGTCAATATTATTAAATATGATATGATTGACTCATAATAGCTATGCTGTGGCCCAAAAAGTAAATTACTCGCCTCAATCCCCTCTAGTCCCCTGTCATATATTCAAAATTAGGTCAAAATCTGACAAAAAATAGTTAATGCTACTCCATTACTGTTTCATTTGCCATACACACAATATTATGAGAATATCCTTTTTTTTATCCAATATTATGAGAATAACCTTTCTAATAATCTTCAATATAGAAATAATTCCACTATTTATGTCTATAAGTTGATCATTCAAATTAGGGAACATTTAAAGTTGAATGAGTGAAGTAACTGGCAAGTTCAGATATTTTTATGGAAAACAATGTTTTTCTTTCTCTTCCATTACACTATATGAATCAAAGTATATTTTGAAGTATGGCTATAATCTAAAAACTTGCTTTGTTGTGGTGTGCAGAATAAACTGGATTAATTTTTCAACATACAGATGATTAGGTTGTTCTGTCTTCCTAATAACTTTCACATTACTGTCCTAAGGAACAACAATTTTTTTGTAGCAGTTCTTTAAAAAATATAGTTATGCTACAATATGAAGCAGCATTTTTATGTTAAGATTAAAGGATAGTGATTTGGGGAGCTTCAATAAAACTTTTGCTTATTATTCAACCAATAACAGGTCATTTAAGTTAGTCTATAATAAAAGAAAACATTATATCTTATTTCACTTAACATTTTTATTACCTTTTCTTGAAATACAAATGTTATTTCTCCATTTGTGGAACTCTGTTGAAAATATAAGCCTTTCATAGTCACCTAAAACAAACAAAAAACATACATAACAGAGTCTTCCAGACCAAGTGAAAGCACGAATTGAAAAATAGTGTTGGCAAAGGACAAAATGACAATTATAAATGTAGTCTTCACACAAGTAAACTTAGATAATAGTTCTTTTATAAAGTGATCAAATAAGAGTACGTAGCCATCTCTGGGTACATGTCTTACTTAGAATGGGTTCACAATTCAACCTTTCATTCTAAAAGCAAACATGTTTAACTTTACTCTCCTACTTAAAAAAAGGCTTTACACGAGCCTGAGAACCAGGTTCAAATTTTCCAAGGTTAAATTTCAAAGGAAAATTAAAAAGGAAAAAGTAGACAGGACACTGGGTGAAACTGTGCCTCTAATTCTTCTCTAGCAGTCTATAGAACTTTTAATGGAAGAATTTACATCTATATTTTGTGAATGTTTCTGTTTATTTGTTTGTGGTGTTTGGGATGGAACCCAGGGCCTTGCACATGCTAGGCAAATCGCTTCCATTGACCTATATCCTCAGCCCTGTGTTCTGTGAACTTCTTGAAGCATTTCCAAGGATTCCACAGTTGTTTAATTTTTGTAGTGATCATACTGCAAGACAATTGTTTTGTCAACTTAACAGAAAAATAAAATAAAAGTGTATAGCTTGTCCAATTTTAAAAGTAAATATGCTTATGTCACACACACACACACAAAAAAAAAACAAAAAAACACATGACTTGAACTGCAGAAGCTCCCTTGTGTTCCCTTTCTAGTCACTGCTTTCCTTCCCTCTCCTAATGTTTTGAACCTCATAGGAAGAACATTCTTCTCCTTTATGTGTGCTTCATTTCTCTTAATATAATATTTGCAAGTCCACTCAGGCTATTGCTTACAGTTGTAGTCCAGTTATTCCCACTCCTATATATCACTTCAGTGATGAGTAAGTTACTGGCTATCTATTCCACTACGGATAGACATTTGAATTGTTTCGAGTTTGAGGTGCTTGCAAATTGTCCTATTCAGAAAATTCTTGTACATGCGTTTTGTTGAAAGTACTAGTATTGCATTTATTTTTTATATAAGAAAACTACAACTCCCCTAACTCTAAATGGGGACTGAAGGAAAGGAAACTGCATCTTAAAGAGATTAAGTTTAAAACATGGGGTCTCATAGAACTAGCTGGTCCAGAAATGGGACACACACCAGGTGTTCCCCCCCTTCCAAAGTCATTATTTTATTTCTTTCTTTTCCAAAATCATTTTAACCATTACAGTATTTAATGCTTTCCCATTGAGCTTCTAACATGAGATATTTAATTTAAAACTAGAATACTTCATCCTTTAGGATTGATTATTAAGTTCTTCTTGACAGAATTGCCTATATATAATTTCCAGGTTCCAATGCGAAATTAAAAATGAGGAACATTTCATAAATTATTAAAATTTCAAGTTAGCAATAGCAGAGTACTAAACCAAGCATGGGTCCTTTCTAAGCATGAGACCCAGTGAGACTGCATAGATGTCAAGCCCATGAAACCAGCCTTGGGTGCTGGCATCTTAGTGGATCTACCTGGATCTATATAAAAGAGTTTTTGGAATGTGGATGAGCAATGGCTGCTACTTCCTAGGGTGGAATAATCAAATACTGTATTCAATGTACATATACATAATTTCTATATGTACATTGAATACATATAGAAATTATATAAATAGCATGTATCAACAAAGTGTATAAAAACAGGACAAGCTAGGTCAAAAGACTGAAATATTCCTACGTATTTCGTTACAAAAGGTGTTTGTGTCAATGAGGGTGGGGGGAAGGAGAGGGGAATAACCTAAGCATGTTTTTTGTTGAAAGTATTTGTATTGCATTTATTTTTTATATAAGGAAACTACAACTCCCCCAACTCTAAATGGGGAATGAAGTAATATAGCATATATTCCCTATATTAATTCTAACCGTTTCAGCCTAGTTTTCAAGGCTCTCTAAAAGCCATTTCCACTCTTCCCACAATTTTCCAACACACACCTGTCTGATCAAGACAGTGTAACTCCACACCATATGGTTACCCCATCTCAGGCTTCCAAGCATGGCCTGTTCTCTGAAACACTGCTGTACTAACTGCAGATTCTGCCAAGCACATAAAACTCAAGTCCTACACTCTTTCTGGAATCACCTTCAGTGACAGTCAATCTACCCCATCTGTTCCATGATCCTAGAGTTTTTATATACTAACAAACAAAACTTTGTTTTATTAACTTATTAACTAATGGACTTTTCCTGCTATTGCCTGGGTGAATCAATACCCATTGTTTTTAAGTAAATAAATCCTTGTTCCTGATTAGTCTGGAGGTATTCAGGTTGCCTTTTGCAGAAACAGAACAACTACATATCAACATCTTGATTTCAACCCATCTCCCTTTGTGATTCTGGAAGCCACTGTTTTCTCTACCCATTAAATCTTAAAACATATGGCATGGGTCCCAGATCAGCAATCACATGGATCTGATACTATGCTCCAATTTCATGTTAAATACTTCTTACAAATCAGCTGAATATTGGCCTAGCTGGTGGGGAAAAAAAAAAAAAAAAGATTAGTTGATACAATGAAGAGCTGTGGGCTGGGGTTGTAGCTCAGAGGTAGAATGCTAGCCTACCATGCATGAGGCACTGGGTTCGATCCTCAGCACCAAAAACCAAACAAACAAACATACAAACAACAACAACAACAACAAAGCAAAGAAAAAAAATAGAACTGCTATGTGGGCTCAAAACAATACACTAAGTTACAAAGTGAAGAGAGATATTTTTACAAAAGTGAAGAGGAACATTAAGAAAGTATTAATGCTTTGTTTTGCAACCCCCCTAAAAGGAATACTAAATTCCTAGTTCTAAGAAAATGGTAGGGGGTGACAGTCAAGGCCCACAAGGTTTCTTAGGCACTAGTCCCAATTAAATGGGACACTGAGTTTTTTATGTAATAAAACGTTTTCTGGATTTAAAGATATTTGGAGGGGCCAGGGCTGTAGCTCAGTAGCAAAGTGTTTGCCTAGCATGTGTAAGGCAATGGGTTGGATTCTTAGCAATACATAAAAATAAACAACAACAACAAAAAAGGCATGCTGTCCATCTACAACTACCAAAGTAAAAAAAAAAAAAAAAAAAGATCTGCACACATGAAATCAACGCACAGTTTACAGAATAAAAATAGAAATTATTTTTCATGACATTTTTAACAAAGTCATGTAATTTCAAAATTATATGTTCTAACATAAATTTTGCTAAATTAGAAAAGTCCTGTGTATATGGCTGGGATTGAACCTAGGATCTCATGTAATGCTAGGCACAGAACAGTATATAACTTTTTTTTTTCTTTTCTTGGTATTAAGGATTGAACAGGGGCACTTTACCACTAAGCTACATGCCCAGGCCTTTTTATTTTGAGACAGGGTCTTGCTAATTTGCTGAGGTTGGCCTACAACTTGTGATCTTCCTGTCTCAGCCTCCTGAGTCTTTGGGATTATAAGCATGGGCCACCTAGCTCGGACTGTTATATTTTGACCTTCTAAGAAAATGTAATATGATATTGTTTTAATGATGTTCTTAATAATCTGAAACTTCTTCATATATATCCATATATCAGAAAAAGAAATATGAGTAACCACATGCCCAAATATTTGGCTACAAATATGGAAAGTGTAATCAAAGTAACTATCTGGAGATTTGGTTCAAATACCATACTGTGCAGGCTGTGGAGGATGGCAGTGCTAACCAAATCCAGAAAAGCCAGCTGAGCTTCAAGAAGGAGGTAGATATATGATCCTAATAGTCTACATCATATACACAAGAGTCACTAAAAATTTGTGTACCCTGAGGACATTGGAAATACACAGGTATTTTGTTATAAACAATTGCACTGCTTTTCTGTGCCTGTTGGGTACAGGAGATAACTGAGATAGGTACTTACACTTGGCTAAACCTTAGAAATCAAGTCTAGCAAATATAGTCACATATGGATATAGTCACAGGGGTTTTAAAATGAGGGTTCAAGCATCAGGTAAGTGGAGCAGCAGGATCATCAGATGACGGTTAAGGTTTCTTCTAATTATGACAATACAGATTTCTATAAATATTTTCAAGACATACTCAACTAACTTTATGCATATGTGGCATAATCCCTACATTTTATGCAAACTGAGAACTAAAGATAGCTGGAGAAGCGTTAAAAAAAAGAAAGAAAGAAAGAAAGGAAAGAAGTATTTGCTTGGAAGTGTCACATTGTTACTTAAATATTCAATAAGGGGCAGGGGTTGTGGCTCAGTGGTAGTGTGCTTGCCTATTATGCGTGAGGCACTGGGTTCGATTCTCAGCACCACACACAAATAAGTAAAATAAAGGTCCATCAACAACTGAAAGAAATTAAAAAAAAAATTTCAATATGTTGTTTCCACACTGAGCAGCAAGGCATCCAACTAAGATCATTTTGGATCCCTAAAGAATTTTAATATAGTTCCCCTTATTCCATGAGAGCTTTACTTGGATTATGGGTCACTGCACAGAATATATTTTCACTTAAGGACATTGGCAAAAGCCATGAGTATACAGATATCTTATTGTAAACAGTTGCATTGCTTTGCTGTGCCTATTGGGCACAGGAGATACTGAAATAGAGTCTAGGATTTCCTATAGGAGGCATTCCTTTTCTAACACCATTAGAAGGTAGGGAATGATTGAGATGGTGATTATCCAAAGGATGGAAATCTGAGGACTAGTTATTATTCAATGAAGGCCAATTAATAGTACAATTTAGGACAACTGAAACTTAAAATTTCACTACATTTCTTGAATTAGCATCACCTTTCCCACATTGTGCTACTGGGAAAAAAATAGAGTCAATGGTGTAATGAATGGAATGTCCCCTTTTAAACTGGCTATATGACATGATATTGGGACAATGCAGGTAGAGATGGGTAGAGATGAGGGAGACAGTCAATTGAGGAATCTTCCCTAATTTCTTATAACACTTTCTCCTTCCTGACTGGTACAAAATCTTTACCTACTAATAGCATTGCAATCTTTAGGCTTACTTTTCATTTCATTATAGGGTCCTGAAATAATTTCTTGGTTTAAAGGCAAACATGAATTGGTAATTTTGATTAAATATTAAAAAAAAACCAAAATTAAGAGCAAATAATCTCATGGAATGTATCAGAATATATAACAACGAAAGAAAATTATTTTGTGAAGTACCATATTTTAACACGTGTGAGTATGTGTACTCTTGTTCTTGTACTCAAGGCTTTCCTTAGCTCAATGTAGCACTATTTAGTGGATCCACAAAAGGAATAAAGTTGTCCTTGAAACAGTCTAAGAGCAGTTCTTAATAAGAGGAAAACATTCATTTTTATCACTCAAAAAAAAAAAATTCACCACAAACAAAAATAGAAAACACTGTCACAATTTATGAATTTCCAAGCTTTCCCACCTTCCTTCTTCAGGGAGGTACACCAATTAATCAAAAGCCATTACTGCCCAGGGTCCAGTACTGGTCCAGAAGTCTAAATCTCCTTCAGGATTTCAACTCTCATTCTTAAATACAGAACTTTGATTCAAATGCCCAGCATGGAGAATAGCAAAACTACCAAACTCTATTTCACTGCAAATGTCAGGCAGTTTGACTTTTTATGGGGAATTCATATTTCAAAGCTGGAGCAGAAGTATCAATGAAGTGAAAACAAAAGGTAATACTTTTACTTTGCAGTGGATGATGGATAAAATTTAGAAGTCCTAAATGACTCTGCTTTGAATTCTTAGTAACCTCTGAGAGTTGCTGCAAGGATTAAATACAGTAATCTATGCAAAGCACTTGACTTGGCTTCAACAAATGTTAATTACCTTTACTATTTCTTTAAGTTGGGCAGAGAACCTCTAAAATAGTTCTGAAACCCAGAGCAGCAAAGGCTTGTTCACATGCAACAATTCTAATGTCTACAATAGTCCATTCTATCATTTGGCTCTATATTATAGATGGTAGAACACCAGCCAATAGCTACAGGTGGCTACTGAGCACTTGAACTGTGTGTATTCAAAATTGATATGTACTGTTAAGTGTAAAGTGCATATTAAATTTGGAAGACTCAATATGAAAAAAATACAATCTCTTTAAAATTTTTTTTTTTATTTTTTTCATTGAAATAATTTTGAATATACTGGGTTAAATGAAACCTAAAATTCATGTTTCGTTTCACTTTTTAAATGTTGCCACAAGGAAAATCCTAAGTAGATCGAATTATCTTCATAGTGGTCAGAAGTGACGTAGAATCTTGCTAACGAGGACTAGTACAACCTGGGAGCTGGTTGTAAATGCAGGTCCTCAGGGCGAGACATACAGAGTCAGCATCTGCATATGAACGTGATCCTAGGATTGTTCCCATGTGTCTCTCCTGTGTATTCCGCTATTTAGTTTAATGAAGAGGACAAATCTGGCCCTAAGGTCACATAAATAAGAATTCCCTTGCTCTAGGTAATTGCTTACTGAAAAACGAAAGTCTACAGGAAGCAAGCAAAGGCAGAAGAGTAATGAAGCAAGAAACTCAAATATAGGAACAAAAAGAAGTGGGAGAAACAAAATTCAAACTGGGAGTTACAGCTGGAAGAGAACTTCCAGACCTTCGCCTCCATAAATGTGAAGGAAGATGGAAACTAAGCCAAAATCTACAATCAAGACCTGCAAAGCGCAAGGAAGCTGCCAGTCAAATTTAGTCTTACCCGCCCCTCAGTAGCCTCAGCTAAGGTAGGCCAGAGCCCGAGTGAGTCCAAGGCTGGGAAGCTTCACGAACCACCAGCTCTCCCAGGGTTACACTGTTCCTCGGGATGTCTCTCCATCTTTCGCCCACAGTCCCTTTTCTCCAGACACATAACATGCTTCCCGGGGCTCACCTGCCTCCAAGCAGCCCAACTGCCAGCGCCTTCGCCACCGCCACCTTCCAGTCTTTCTGCAGGGAACCCGCCCCCTCGAAATCAGATGGTACTCCCATTGGTCCGACAGTTCGTCACTCCTGCAGGGCGGGGCCGGGCTCCAGGAGGCTGTAGAGAACGCCATAGCAACCAAACTCGGAACTACAACTCCCAGCATGCTCCAAAAGGGGCGACGCGAGGTACCGCCCCAAGGGCTACCAATAAAGGGGCGAAGTTGAAATCGCCCGGATGGGTTCCGTTTTATGCAAATCTAAGTTAAAGCCACACCCTTCCTCATTCCAACTGAGCCCCCCTACTGCACCCTCCTCGGGCTGTACCCTGACTCCCTTTTCTTCTCCACTACATACTCTCTGGTCAAACCTTACGTAATTTAGTTGAATGCATCGTAGCTATTGTTTCTCACGGCAGCGAGCAGATGCACCAAATGGTGGAAGAAACTCTCCATAAATCCTAGACCCGAAACCTTTGGTTCCGCCTTTGTGGGAGGAGGAAGAGGTTTTCTCTCCGAGCCTGTTGATTGGCTTATCTGTGTGTCATTCTGTACTCCTCCATTTTTCCTCAGCTCTCTCTCCTAGCATCCTCCGGTGGGCAGGGCCGGCGGTAGGGGGCGGTGAGGAGGTGTGGTCGTCTTCTTTCGATTGGCAGACGGTTGTGACCACCTATCTGTGGGCGGAGACCGAGGGGTGGATGGGGGCGGAGGAGGCTACGGAGGGAGATGAGGAGATAGGCGGGAGCGAGGGAGGGAGCGAAGGAGGTAGAGAGGAGTGGAGGAGCGTAGGGAGGGAGCGCAGCTTGGTTGCTCCGTAGTACGGCGGCTCGCGAGGGAGACTCCCGAGCGGGCTCCGGGACGGGCGGGCAGGCGGGCGGGGATGGTGTGCGGGGCTGCGGCTCCTGCGTCCCACCCAACAGCGTGTGAGCTGCACTGATTTGTGCCTGGGGCGGCAGCGCGGACCCGCCCGGAGATGAGGTGAGGA